GGAAGGTTAGATGGATATCAGCAGGGAATAGGGAAGGTAGATGGATACCAGCAGGGAATTCGGGGAAGGTAAATGGATACCAGCAGGGAATTCGGGGAAGGTAGATGGATATTAGCAGGAAATGGGGAAGGTAGATGGATATCAGCAGGGAATTCAGGGAAGGTAGATGGATATCAGCAGGGAATGGGAAAGGTAGATGGATATCAGCAGGCAATGGGGAAGGTAGATGGATATCAGCAGGGAATTCGGGGGGGTGTGGAGGTGAAATCAGCAGGGAATGGGGTCAGAGGTAGATATCAGCTCGGACTGGGGGCTGGATATCAGCAGGGAGTGGGTGGGGGAGGAATATTCTTTACCTGAGAGGGCTGTCGAGGCTGGGCTGTGAAGAATATTCAAGGCTGAGAGAGCGAGAGAGAGAGAGATTTTATATCAGGAGGGGAATCAAGGGAAAAGGCAGCAAAGTGGAGTTGAGGATGAGCAGCTCTGACATTATCACATTGAATGACAGAGTGGACCCGATGGGCTGAATGGCCTATTTCTGCTCTAAATACTTATGGTCTTGTATGTGGCTAACAGCAGGGCGGGTGGGAGGAGATGACTAACTGGGCGCTCGGTGTGCCTCTATTGGCACAGTAGGTTGTGGTGTGGGGCAGAGATACTGACAAATGACCAGGAGCGGGGCAAGGCTGGCAAGGTGCCAATGCCCGTTTTGTAACTGGGGTCATGTTTTATCTGACCCTCTAGTCCAGCTGGAGTTTTGGGGGGGGCATTGACATTTCTCTCTGGGTTGCATTTTATCGCCCAGGTACTGATGGGGCCTGTACCAGATCGGGGAGGGAGACCTGGTGAGATTGAGCCACCAATGCCCACCTGGGAGGACCGACGGAGAGCCGGCAGCGCTGGTGGGCGGAGACAGAAATGGAGAGGCAAAGGGCGGAAGCACAAATGAAGCTAAACCGGGAGCTTGTCCTCTTCACCCTCTGAAGAACAATGGAGGGAGTCACTTCCCATGGGGCTGGACGTGAAAATATTGAAGTGGCTGTGTAAGGTTAGGACTTGGAGCTCCCAGACTGGGGTGAGAGAGAGAGAGAGTCTGTGTCTGTGTGCGAGAGTGAGAGTGAGTGTGTGTGTTCTAGACTGATGAAAGGTTAGGGTAGCCTAAGATTAAGCCACCATAATGATGGGTACCACAATAAAGCAATTAAATATGTGCTGAGGGTTTGAGACCCCCTGATAGTGGGAGGTGGGGGCTGAGTGTGTGGAGGAGATGAGTGAATCCATTCTGTATTGTTAAAACATCTCTGCACCAGGCTCACTGTGGGTGAGAGAAATCCCAAACCCTTACCAAGTGTAAGTGACCATCGAGTGCTTTGAAACGGTTTGAAAGGCGGCGTAGAGCGAGCTCCGAATACTGCATCACCTGATCACACTTGGAGCCACCCATTTCGACACACATTCTGATGGAGTGCAGGGATTTTACCCAGGCCTGGGTAATACTGTGTTTGTTTGTTCAGTACCTTTCTGTGTCGCCTGTTGGGCCTTTGTCACAGATCCTCCTTTCTTTGTATACTTGCGGAAATAGTTTCCTTTAAATCCTCCACATTGCTGAGAAAATGTGGGATCTTTTCATGTTGCACTCATCAGGACAATTGCAAGAATGCCAAATCTCAAAGGGAATAACAATATGTACTGCGTGCAGAAAAAGCACTGACTTTTTTTTTCCTTTCCTAATTACTGAGTGATTATTGCTTTGTATTTTGGCAATCCGTTGTTGGAAGTGTCTGGAATTTTATGACCTATGGGTCTTTTTCTTTTCATTCTTATAACCACTACATTTGTTGGCAGAGAAGGGAATTGGCGCAGGGAGAAAGGGTTCTGGTCATACCCAGAGAAAGAACGGGTGTTCCCCCAACCCCCCCTTGGGCAACTGCGTGCCTGGGTACCAGTGAATGTCATGGTACCCATGCTGTGGTTTCAGTTCAGCTGGTGCCTTTCCTGGCACCTCACTGCAGAGGGCAGCGTTTGCAAAGTTTCTGTAAGAATTTTGAATTAATATTTGCTTTCCTCGCATTTTCATCTGCTCTCCACAAGCTGGTGTGCCTTTGAATTTGGATGCTGGATCAGTTGTCTTTTCAAAAACGATTAAAACCAAATTATTCTCTTGCTCTGACTGTAGGATGTTTTCCTGAAAGGTTTTCACGTGGGCTTATGAACAAGAAACAAAGTAGGTCATTCAGCCCCTTGAGCGTGCTCTCCCATTCAATAAGATCGTGGTTGATCTGATTTTAGCCTCGACTCTACTTCCCTGCATATCCCTGGTAATTTTTCACCCACTCACTCATCTGACTTCAAAATATTTAATGATTTTGCAAACACTGAGGATGGGGAAGAGAATTCCAAAGACACTCAACCCTTGAGATATACGATGACATTTGAATTCAATAATAATCTGGAATGAACTGGTCTAATTTTACTGGTGGTACTGTTTTTGTTTTAAAAAAAGAACAAAAGCTGATCTACTGAGACGTACTGGTCTGCTTTGTCTAGAATACCTTTGGACAGTTCTCCAGTCTTCCAAATATTCCTGCATTTTTTACTTTTTTTAAACCCTCTATCAACAGTAATTTCATTCATTAGCCCAAGCGCACACCCATGCGTGTACACACACGTGTATTCTCACACAAGTACATGCTCTCTCTCTCACGCTCTCTCATACACACAAACTCACGCACATATACATGTACACTCATACATACACACGTGTATACACTGTCACATGTACACATTCACACGTACACCCTCACATATACAGCCTGACACATCTACACACGTACATACGGGCACGTGTACACTTGCGCACATACACTCACGTTAACTCTCATGCGAACGCTTGCTGTCTCAGGCATGTGCTTGCTCTCTCGTGTTCTCTCAAGTGCACTGTCACACAGTCTCTCAAATGCCCACACACACATGTACGTGCACACACGTACTCATGTGCACAGTCTCACAAACACGTGCTCTCAAAAACATACGTACATGCTCACATACACTTTCAGACCCATAGACACACACACGCTCTCACATGCTATCACATATATTCACACGTACACTGATGTGTGCATGCGCACACGTACACAACCACGTATGTACACGCTCACACCTGCACGCTGTCACACAGGTACACATGCACGTACACACACCTACATTCTCACATACATACTTTCCTCATGTACATCTGTACTTACTTACACGTATACACACACGTAAATGCTCATACACATACCCGCTCCCACATTTATACACATGCAAACACACATACACACACACTCACTCACATATGCACTCACATGCACATTCTCATACACACGTATAGTCACATACGTACACTCTCTCACGTACATTCCGACTCACGTAACCTTATTCGTACACATTGTCACACGTGTACATACACTCGGGGTACTACAGGGTAGGCGATGGCCTAGTGGTATCGCTAGACTATTAATCCATTGTCTCCTGGGGACCCAGGTTCGAAGCCCACCATGGCAGATAGTGGAACTGGAATTCAACAGAAAAAAGTCTGAAATTAAGAATCTACTGATCACCATAAAATCATTGACATCAAGGTGCAGAGCTGGATGAACGCAGCAGGCCAAGCAGCATCATAGGAGCAGTAAGGCTGACGTTTCGGGCCTAGACCCTTCATCAGGAGCCTTACTGCTCCTATGATGCTGCTTGGC